AAACAATAGGCAAATGCAGGCAAATGCATTTTAGAAAACCAAAAAAAATTATACCATCAGAACACATATCAATGAGTTCAAACTACAATCTTCAGATTCATAAACAGAAAAAACAACCATTGTGGGTTCAAACTAAAACGAAGCTGATTCATAAACAGAAAAAACAACCATTGTGGGTTCAAACTAAAACGATGCAGATTCATAAACAGAAAAAACAACCATTGTGGGTTCAAACTAAAACGACCAGAATCTTAAACAGAAAAACAACTGACGATGATAAGCTCATTAAAGAATGATAATACAAAGGGCACCTGCAGGTAATCAATAAACAAGTCTGTCCAAAAAATTCAACCAGAGTCAAATTCCTAAAAAAAAATTGAAGGGGAGTGTTGGCGCCCTCAGGCAAATGCATTTTAGAAAACCAAAAAAGAATGTAGATAAAATAATACGATATTAAGGCATATTGTACAGTTCAAACTAAAACGACCAGAATCTTAAACAGAAAAACAACTGACGATGATAAGCTCATTAAAGAATGTTAATACAAAGGGCACCTGCAGGTAATCAATAAACAAGTCTGTCCAAGAAATTCAACCAGAGTCAAATTATTAAAAAAAAAAATTGAAGGGGAGTGTTGGCGCCCGCAGGCAAATGCATTTTAGAAAACCAAAAAAAATTATACCATCAGAACACATATCAATGAGTTCAAACTACAATCTTCAGATTCATAAACAGAAAAAACAACCATTGTGGGTTCAAACTAAAACGAAGCAGATTCATAAACAGAAAAAACAACCATTGTGGGTTCAAACTAAAACGACCAGAATCTTAAACAGAAAAACAACTGACGATGATAAGCTCATTAAAGAATGATAATACAAAGGGCACCTGCAGGTAATCAATAAACAAGTCTGTCCAAAAAATTCAACCAGTCAAATTCCTAAAAAAAAAATTGAAGGGGAGTGTTGGCGCCCGCAGGCAAATGCATTTTAGAAAACCAAAAAAAATTATACCATCAGAACACATATCAATGAGTTCAAACTACAATCTTCAGATTCATAAACAGAAAAAACAACCATTGTGGGTTCAAACTAAAACGAAGCAGATTCATAAACAGAAAAAAACAACCATTGTGGGTTCAAACTAAAACGACCAGAATCTTAAACAGAAAAACAACTGACGATGATAAGCTCATTAAACAATGATAATACAAAGGGCACCTGCAGGTAATCAATAAACAAGTCTGTCCAAAAAATTCAACCAGAGTCAAATTCCTAAAAAAAAAATTGAAGGGGAGTGTTGGCGCCCGCAGGCAAATGCATTTTAGAAAACCAAAAAAGAATGTAGAGAAAATTATACGATATTAAGGCATATTGTACAGTTCAAACTAAAACGACCAGAATCTTAAACAGAAAAACAACTGACGATGATAAGCTCATTAAAGAATGTTAATACAAAGGGCACCTGCAGGTAATCAATAAACAAGTCTGTCCAAGAAATTCAACCAGTCAAATTCCTAAAAAAAAAATTGAAGGGGAGTGTTGGCGCCCGCAGGCAAATGCATTTTAGAAAACCAAAAAAAATTATACCATCAGAACACATATCAATGAGTTCAAACTACAATCTTCAGATTCATAAACAGAAAAAACAACCATTGTGGGTTCAAACTAAAACGAAGCAGATTCATAAACAGAAAAAACAACCATTGTGGGTTCAAACTAAAACGACCCGAATCTTAAACAGAAAAACAACTGACGATGATAAGCTCATTAAAGAATGTTAATACAAAGGGCACCTGCAGGTAATCAATAAACAAGTCTGTCCAAGAAATTCAACCAGAGTCAAATTCCTAAAAAAAAAAATTGAAGGGGAGTGTTGGCGCCCGCAGGCAAATGCATTTTAGAAAACCAAAAAAAATTATACCATCAGAACACATATCAATGAGTTCAAACTACAATCTTCAGATTCATAAACAGAAAAAACAACCATTGTGGGTTCAAACTAAAACGAAGCAGATTCATAAACAGAAAAAACAACCATTGTGGGTTCAAACTAAAACGACCAGAATCTTAAACAGAAAAACAACTGACGATGATAAGCTCATTAAACAATGATAATACAAAGGGCACCTGCAGGTAATCAATAAACAAGTCTGTCCAAAAAATTCAACCAGAGTCAAATTCCTAAAAAAAAAATTGAAGGGGAGTGTTGGCGCCCGCAGGCAAATGCATTTTAGAAAAACAAAAAAAATTATACCATCAGAACACATATCAATGAGTTCAAACTACAATCTTCAGATTCATAAACAGAAAAAACAACCATTGTGGGTTCAAACTAAAACGACCAGAATCTTAAACAGAAAAACAACTGACGATGATAAGCTCATTAAAGAATGTTAATACAAAGGGCACCTGCAGGTAATCAATAAACAAGTCTGTCCAAGAAATTCAACCAGAGTCAAATTCCTAAAAAAAAAAATTGAAGGGGAGTGTTGGCGCCCGCAGGCAAATGCATTTTAGAAAACCAAAAAAAATTATACCATCAGAACACATATCAATGAGTTCAAACTACAATCTTCAGATTCATAAACAGAAAAAACAACCATTGTGGGTTCAAACTAAAACGAAGCAGATTCATAAACAGAAAAAACAACCATTGTGGGTTCAAACTAAAACGACCAGAATCTTAAACAGAAAAACAACTGACGATGATAAGCTCATTAAAGAATGTTAATACAAAGGGCACCTGCAGGTAATCAATAAACAAGTCTGTCCAAGAAATTCAACCAGAGTCAAATTCCTAAAAAAAAAAATTGAAGGGGAGTGTTGGCGCCCGCAGGCAAATGCATTTTAGAAAACCAAAAAAAATTATACCATCAGAACACATATCAATGAGTTCAAACTACCATCTTCAGATTCATAAACAGAAAAAACAACCATTGTGCTTTCAAACTAAAACGAAGCAGATTCATAAACAG